TATGTCCGTCGTTTTGGTGGTTTTTATCTTTACCCATGTGTATATTTGTTTGTTTCACGATCTATGCCTCCACCCGCCACGGAGCCCAACAAGGGGACACTGGTGTGACGCGGATATCCAGCGCCAAGTGTCGGAGATACATAGAATAGTATACTCGTAAGAATATACATACTATTTGAAAGAGTATACTCTCGCGATTGACCCTAAGCCACCGCCTTCTTGGGAGTATGTAAACCAAGGGCTCGGCGTGACCAGCCGATTGGTGATAGAGGGCCCATATCACCTCTCGTCTACCCAGAGTCCGAAGCCAAAGCAGTATGTTGCAGAATATCGGATCATGTCTCCTTCCTATCAAGAGTTTGACAGTGATTCCGACTCTGCTCAGCTACCAGGATCTTCTTCCCCCAGGAATACGAGATGCAACCCACGGCAAACAGGTTGGCTCAAATTGGAGCTACTGTGAAAGCCTTCTGCTACGATGACGCCCAGCGCGCCACAATCATACCCCCGAAATGATCACATACGCACTGAGCACCAACGTACCCAGCCTCGGAACGTGGACCCAGCTTTCTTGGAGGCCTCGGGGTATGGAAGCCAATATCTGAAATTAATGTAAAAACTACTGCAGTTTTTGGAATTTTTTAACCTGGCATTGATGCGATTCCACCAATATAATACTGGTTTTGTAATAAACATTGTTTGGCAACAATATATTTATTTTGAAGTAAAAGTGTGTAAAGAAATCAAATATCATGACCCAAAAGTTGATATCAAGTAGATATTTTGGATGATTTGCAATAAAAATTCCTCCTTAAATGACTTGTACTACCTGAAGCGGTATAATACTTGATGCAACATTTGAAGATACCTATACATTCTAGAGCCATGTTACTTGGTTTGGTATGTAGATTAGTAGCCGGGAACTAGATCTTCTAGGCCTGATGGTTTTATTTCTTTTCTGTTTTATTATCGGATAGTTCGATAATAATAAAACAAAAGATCGGGCCTAGAAGCTATGGTTCCCATAGCTAGTAGACTTGAAGTGCAATTACAAGTACATATTTAGGTCAGAAGTAAGCTATTGAGAAGTGGTGGGGTCAAAGTGTCACATGATCTATAAAGCATAAACAGATATCAGAATCTTTATTTGGCCAGTGTCCCTGGGATAGAATTGTATAAAACTCCCACGTATAATATGATGACCAACTCTGAAGGTCGAAAATATATACAGAATCAAGCATCATTTTCCAGAGAATCTCGAGTTGGAAATTTACGTCATTATAATTGATTAGATTGCCTTACTGAGTTGGAAATTTAAGTCATTATAATTGATAAGGTTGCCTTACAAGCATCAGCTGTTGGAGATTTCCCTGTAGCTCAGCGGTAGAGCATCAGGCTGGAGAGCAGCAGTGTGAACAATTTCTCGAATACATGTATTGTGTTTTGATCTAGTAAAATCTAAGTTCACATATAATACATGTAACTGTATATTTAATTATGCTGTGTATTAATATTTGCTTTTGTGATACATTTTCTCGTTGTGGAGGGAAAAAGGCAAGTTAAAACTGCGATGAAAATTTACCAGTTTACATGCAGTATTGCTGTAATCTAAATAATTAACTTTCAGCTAACGTCTAGCAATGGAAGTTTTTTTTGTAGTGACTGAAATATGTGGAAGTAGATTTTGTCAAATCCCAAAGTAGTGAAAATGTTTCTAAATAACAACCAAAAACCAGTAGTGCAATGATTTGTTTTAATTTGTGTACTGCAAACAAAAAAATGGTCAAACTACTGTCACTGTAACACAAGAAAGTTGTATTCAATTATGAATGTATATCATGATCCTGTAGCCTTACAACCTTATATAAGTGTGATAATTGTACAGTTATACCGCTCATACAGACTTTTACAGTAGACTTTGTAAATGGTGCAAAGAATGGCACAGATTTTGTAATAAATCAAAGATAAGCAAATTAAAAACACTTTTCAAATTTGAACAAATTAAAATGACATTCTGGTTTTAAAGAACCTTTTCTATTGACAGTATTTATCCTGTTCTAGGTCATTTATCATCTGGAATATTACATACTGCTACATGATGATATGATGAATTGATGGATTCGTATCCATGTGTGACTTTATGTAGATTGTTTAATAAATTAACAAATCCTCATCCAGCACTTCAGTTTTCAAACAATCCTCTTTCTAATGCCGACTTTAAATTTCACCTCATCCAATTCCCAGAACATGTAATTAGTCTTGTTGACTACTCTTTTGAATCTGGCGACAAGTCAACACACAACCTAGAAATAAAGACCCATACAATGACATAGCATGGTTGTCACAGCTTCAAATTGCTTCACATTATTTACTGTAGGCGACATAGATTTATATCCATTGAAGCAATGAACCACCACAGTATGTTTGGCTGGACTAAAGTCGGTTCAGCCAAGCATGTTCCTGTCTGTCCTATTGGGCAGCTTAAATGCTGATCATTTATCCACATGTGTGTAGAATGTCATCTGTTACTCTTAGCACGATTGTGGCACTAAACTGCAGACTCCCTTATCTATGTAGAATGTTCATCTGTTACTCTTAGCACTAGTGTGGCACTAAACTGTAGACTCCCTTATCTTTGTAGAACATTCATCTGTTACTCTTAGCACTAGTGTGGCACTAAACTGCAGACTCCCTTATCTATGTAGAACATTCATCTGTTACTCTTAGCACTAGTGTGGCACTAAACTGCAGACTCCCTTATCTATGTAGAACATTCATCTGTTACTCTTAGCACTAGTGTGGCACTAAACTGCAGACTCCCTTATCTATGTAGAACATTCATCTGTTACTCTTAGCACTAGTGTGGCACTAAACTGCAGACTCCCTTATCTATGTAGAACATTCATCTGTTACTCTTAGCACTAGTGTGGCACTAAACTGCAGACTCCCTTATCTATGTAGAACATTCATCTGTTACTCTTAGCACTAGTGTGGCACTAAACTGCAGACTCCCTTATCTATGTAGAACATTCATCTGTTACTCTTAGCACTAGTGTGGCACTAAACTGCAGACTCCCTTATCTATGTAGAACATTCATCTGTTACTCTTAGCACTAGTGTGGCACTAAACTGCAGACTCCCTTATCTATGTAGAACATTCATCTGTTACTCTTAGCACTAGTGTGGCACTAAACTGCAGACTCCCTTATCTATGTAGAACATTCATCTGTTACTCTTAGCACTAGTGTGGCACTAAACTGCAGACTCCCTTATCTATGTAGAACATTCATCTGTTACTCTTAGCACTAGTGTGGCACTAAACTGCAGACTCCCTTATCTATGTAGAACATTCATCTGTTACTCTTAGCACTAGTGTGGCACTAAACTGCAGACTCCCTTATCTATGTAGAACATTCATCTGTTACTCTTAGCACTAGTGTGGCACTAAACTGCAGACTCCCTTATCTATGTAGAACATTCATCTGTTACTCTTAGCACTAGTGTGGCACTAAACTGCAGACTCCCTTATCTATGTAGAACATTCATCTGTTACTCTTAGCACTAGTGTGGCACTAAACTGCAGACTCCCTTATCTATGTAGAACATTCATCTGTTACTCTTAGCACTAGTGTGGCACTAAACTGCAGACTCCCTTATCTATGTAGAACATTCATCTGTTACTCTTAGCACTAGTGTGGCACTAAACTGCAGACTCCCTTATCTATGTAGAACATTCATCTGTTACTCTTAGCACTAGTGTGGCACTAAACTGCAGACTCCCTTATCTATGTAGAACATTCATCTGTTACTCTTAGCACTAGTGTGGCACTAAACTGCAGACTCCCTTATCTATGTAGAACATTCATCTGTTACTCTTAGCACTAGTGTGGCACTAAACTGCAGACTCCCTTATCTATGTAGAACATTCATCTGTTACTCTTAGCACTAGTGTGGCACTAAACTGCAGACTCCCTTATCTATGTAGAACATTCATCTGTTACTCTTAGAACTAGTGTGGCACTAAACTGCAGACTCCCTTATCTATGTAGAACATTCATCTGTTACTCTTAGAACTAGTGTGGCACTAAACTGCAGACTCTCTTTTCTATAGAGAATGTTCATCTGCTAATCTTAGCACTCTTTGGCACTAAATTGCAGATCCTTTATATATGTAGAATGTTCGCCTCAGCCCTGTTTGGGTGTCAGTCTCTGAACTGTTCTACATCCATGGTTCCCAGCCTGCGTAGACTCGGCCGAGAATATTAGGGTCGGTGGCCTGGTCTATGAGAGCAGCTACCTGGTCCTCCACACTAAGACTGTCCTGAGGAAGTTGTGCCCTCGTGTCATCTCTCTCACCCATTACAACACTCTCAAAGTTACGCAGGAAATCGTTCTTTGAATGGCCAAGTCTCAGTTCATCCCTGTAAGATAAAACCAGATTTATTGTTGTAATGCTATGGTATCTAACTTGTAGGAAAGTAGTGGCCATACAGCAAGACTTTCCCTGACACTAACTGCCATATGAGAACCAGATACATTATATAGTCATTTAGAACAATTATATAACACATCAATGTATGGTAAACCTGACAGACCAATGAGTGACCATACATCACTACTGTAAAAATAACCGACCACACATCAATGTATGGTAAAGATTGACTATAGTATAACCAAATATGGCTTTTTAACTCATTCACCCCTGAAATGTCATAATGAACTATTCCAACCTTTGAATTGGAGGAGTTCAAATGTGTCTTCAGGGGTGAATGAGTTAACTGTGGATTCCCAGACATAATCTACATAATTCACAGTTTTGGTTTGTCATTGCTATGGAAGCCTCCTGCACAATATTCCTGAAATCAATGAACCAATTTTTGAGTAGTCCAAAACGTGAACTGTTTACAGCTACAAGATGGGAGGAGATCGACAAAGGTAATTGCAATAAGTCAAATCAGACTGAAACTGCCGAGTTGGCACAATGCAATCTTTTGACAGTTTTGGAGTTATGCTCTGAGAATGGTAAATTAAGCATTTTAGGCTGTATATTTCCATGATAACAGAAAAAATATAATAAATGAAAATTGCTGCATAGCAAAAGGCATTACTAGGCCACTAATTCATACAAGGATAAAGTTTCGTGAAGTTGTTGCCTTGTGGTTTATGAAGTTATGCTCAAGAAACAGTATATTTCAGACCTAGCATGTATAATCCACCCCGACTTTGTTGGGTGGCAGATAATTGGAACACTGGCAGGTCAGCAAGGGGTCGCCATGTGTCTAGCTGTATATTTCATCCACGATCACCAAGAAGATGATCAGATCAGCCGAACACAGACTTTTGTCAGTGATGGAAGATGATAAACTAGTCCACCAACCAAGCAGACACCATGGGGATCACATCATTTATATCATTTATCATAAAGTTTTTCATACATCTGAAATCTGACAAACACAAGTTACCAATTATTAAAAACAAACACAGAATAGCAGAATGCAACCTATAGCCTGAAAGGTCTCAGCCAAACAGAAGCCTTGGTGGCCATCTTGCTTGAGCAGATAATGATAAATGTTCATTTTCATCATGTAGACTGTCCTGTAAGTATTACTTACCACCAAGTAAATCTTATCAATAAAACAAAAGTTATAGCAAAACTTGTCTCAGCTAATAAGAAGTAAAGGAAAGGATCTATATCTGTTCTATTTCTAACAAGTGTTTGGTAACTGTCAGTGATAATGAAGGGGGAAGAACTGTGATAATCAGGGGAGGTAACTGATACATGCGAGTTATCCTATTTTAATTTTAAATTACAAACTAATCACCATAAAGTTTGGAGCAAACTAAGCTTGCTAACTTAGTAAACTGGAGTTAACAAAATAACTAGAAAATGTCTGTAAGACATAAATGCCCCTGCTGCCATGTGAAATTAGTTTAATTGTTCTATAAAAAGTTACAACCACTTTGATCTTGATACCCTGAAACATGTACACACACAAGGTACTACACTTAAAGTTGATCAGTTGAATTTAATAATCTTTTTTTTTGTTTGTATGTTATTACCATCCTGAAACACAAGGATGTCAGAGGTAAACCCATACTTGACCTTTATATAAAGTTTGACCAAAATATGTGAAAGAATTAAGTTGCTAAGTGTTTAAATTGAATCAGTTGATGATTTTCTATATATAGCAACAGTGAGCTTGGAACCCTGAAACACAAGGATGTCAGAGGTATACTCATATTTGACCTTTGTAAAAAGTTTTACCAAAATCCTTCAAAGAATGAAGTTGGTAAGTGTTTACATTGAATCAGGTGATGATTTACTATATATAGCAAGTGTGATCTTGGCCTTGACCTTGGATCCCTGAAACACATCAATGTCCGAAGTATACTCATACTTGACCTTTGTATAAAGTTTGACCAATATCTGTCAAAGAATGAAGTTGGTAAGTGTTTACATTGAATCGGGACGGGACGGGATGGGACGGACATGGGCAACACTTTATCCCCCCCCCCCTTTTATGGAGGGTTGTACCTTTGTATAAAGTTTGATAAAATCTGTCATAGAATGAAGTTGCAAAGTATTTATATTAAATCGGGACGGGACGGGAGTTTACATTGAATCGGGAAGGGACGGGAAGGACATGGGCAACACTATATGCCCCTCCATTTTATGGCGGGGGCATAATAACACCAGTGCACGAGCTTGGACTCCACCTTTTCCTTACCTTGTTATATAACTGGGATTTTCACCCTTAAGTTTTCTCTTGACATAATGGACTTTCTCCTTGGGATACCATGTGATATTTTCCACTTCAAGCGAATCTGAAAAATTAAAAACAGAAGTACTGCAAATATTACTAATTTTACAAGTGAGTTGACCTAGACTGCTCTATACCACACACCCATTTTGGTCTTTTAATTATCCTACAGATACAGGGGGGCCTGTATTGTGTACCTTGATGCATAAGCAACCATGGCAAAATATTCTCATTAAAAGTAATATTTTGGTTATAACTTTATAGAATCTACCATCTTCTCATGCATATACACAATGTAGTTCCAACCGGTTTTGAATTTCAAACTGAAAATGAAGCAAGATACCCAAATGTATAATTTTCCTACAGAAACTACAGTAAATTTCACCTCATCCCTAGGGAGAGCATGAATTACAGGAGTAATGAAATTCTAAGTTTGATAAACCACCTTGAAACCCTTTCATCTATATATAAAGAGGATTTGTTTCTAGCACATCTGGGTCTGAAGAAGATTGTTGAAATTTAAGCCAATTTGACCACTTTGGGGCCTTCCCCTCAGCTCCTGTGTTTCATAGTAACAAACTGTCAGCTTAGGGTTATAATTCCAATCAAGTTTACTTCTGATTAAGTACCATTTTCCTATATAATCTATAAACAAAGCTTGGTGGTATTGAAATTCACAATTTTGACAAAGCACCTAAAAACCTTCCAATAATAAAAAGTATTTGCTTCCAATGTATCCGAGTGTGGAGAAGATAGGTGAAATTCAAGTCAATTTGACGCATTCAGGCCTTGCCCCTCAGCCCCTGGGGGTGGGCCAGACTCAAAATTTTCTTAGTATCAATTAAACTGTCATCTCTGGGTTATAATTTCAATCAAGTCTGAATTATTTTCAATAGAAAATGAATAAAGTTTTCCCAAAAGTATCATTTTCCTAAATAAACTATAGTTAACTTTAGCACATCCCCAGGGGTGAACGAGGAGCCCATGGGTAATGAAATTCACAATTTTAACAAAGCACCTCAAGACCCTTCCATGTATGAAGAGTCTTTGTTTCCAGCGTAACTGGTTCTCAAGAAAACGATTGTTGAAATTTAAACCAATTTGACCCTTTTGGGCCCCTCAGCCCCTTGGGGTGGGCCAGGCTCAAAATTTTCATAGTGTCAAACTGCCATCTTGGGGTTATAGTTTAAATCATGTTTGAATTATTTCCAATTGAAAATGAACAAAATATACTCAAAAGTATCATTTTCCTATATAAACTATGATAAATTTTACCCACTCCCCAGGGGCAAAATAGTAGGGGTAATGAAATTCACAATTTGATAAAACACCTCATTACTAAGACCATTCCATCTATGAAGAGTATTTGTTTCCAGCATTACTGGGTCTTAAGAAGAAGATTGTTGAATTTTAGCCAATTTGACTACTTTTGGCCACGCCCCTCAGAGCCCATATCCTCACAATATTGGTACATCTTTGGCCATGGAAGGTTTCTGCAAAATTTCAATGTTATTGGTTCAGGGGTTTGTGAGAGGAAGTCAAAAATGTAAATTGTTTACGAACGCACGACGGACGACGACGGACAAAGGCAATTTAGAATAGGTCACTAAAGACATCATCTCAGGTGACCTCAAAAAAATCAGTAGGAAACAAATTTGTTGTAAAACCTCAGTACAAATTAATGTAAGGTAAAAAAATCATATATCTCTGGCAAAAAGTTAAACAGCTTCTTCAAAATTGTTGCATTATAGAATATATCACAGGTAAATAATTGGTCACAAGAATGACAGTAACGATGATTTGAAATGTGAGTAACTGGAAACACTGGTGGATACCATGTATCATTGTTACTGGTGGATACCTTGTATCGTTGTTACTGGTGGATACACCTTGTATCATTGTTACTGGTGGATACCATGTATCATTGTTACTGGTGGATACCATGTATCGTTGTTACTGGAGGATACCTTGTATCGTTGTTACTGGTGGATGCCTTGTATCATTGTTACTGGTGGATACCTTGTATCAGTGTTACTGGTGGATATCTTGTATCATTGTTACTGGTTGATACCTTGTATCATTGTTACTGGTGGATACCTTGTATCATTGTTACTCGTGGATACCATGTATCGTTGTTACTGGTGGATCCCTTGTATCATTTTTACTGGTGGATACCTTGTATCATTGTTACTCGTGGATACCATGTATCGTTGTTACTGGTGGATACCTTGTATCATTTTTACTGGTGGATACCTTGTATCATTGTTACTGGTGGATACCTTGTATCGTTGTTACTGGTGGATACAATGTATCATTGTTACTGGTGGATACCTTGTATCAGTGTTACTGGTGGATACCTTGTATCATTGTTACTGGTGGATACCTTGTATCATTGTTACTGGTGGATACCATGTATCGTTGTTACTGGTGGATACCTTGTATCGTTGTTACTGGTGGATACTTTGTATCATGGTTACTGGTGGATACCATGTATCATTGTTACTGGTGGATACCATGTATCGTTGTTACTGGTGGATACCTTGTATCATTGTTACTGGTGGATAACTTACCTCCTAAATTCAAACTCTGAATCTGCTTCTCTGCATTTACCTGCACAGACATGAAAGAATCCCAATTAGTATTGATAGAAAACATTGATACTAATAGATTGGAGGATTATTTTCAATGACAAAAATCTTATACATTGTATAGTGCAAAATATTGATATACAATATAACAACATATAGACTAAATGTATCCCTCTTGTTGGATTGGATGGTAAAAGGAGGTCTCAACTCACCAGCCAATCAACAGAGGGCTCCTTCACAAATATGTCCATGGTTGCAAGGAGCAGGTCGTAGTCTTCCCTGAGGGCACGTAGAGCATGGACCATAGTACTCTCCATCAGCCCCTTCACCTGAAGGGGCAGCATCAGGTTACGCAGTTGTTTTGTTAGACGGAATGGCATCAGCTCCGGTATCAGCAAGAACTGTATCAAAGATAACATTTCTATCTAAAAGCATAAAACTGTATGACTGACCCTTTCTACTCTCTGATCGTTTCAATATGTTTTAATGTTTGAACCATTTTGTTACCTTTTTTTTTATGCCAAATCAGAAACATGAGCAACCAATTGCATTGCTATGTGGAAGACAGTCTGGAGTGTTACCAATTAGACAGAAACTGATTTTTATGTATATTATAGTAACAGCTGTATTTGACTTTTCAATCTGAAAAGTCCACTAAACTGCTATGAGTAAGGTAGTATGAAGTTCAATAATTAAAGGAAACTGAAATCATGGTGTGGAAAATGATTTCTATTAAAAAAAGTGACCATGGCCTTTTGTCTTGAAAGCAATGAAAAAACAATAAATTTGGACAAAGAATCCATATGTTTAAGTCTGATTTACCCAAGGGAACTTGATCTATTGTGTTTATACTATTGAGGGCAATAACAGAAGATGGTTACATAATAGTATTTAAATGACACTGAATGGGAAAATACCTTGTAGACATAGAAGATGGTAATAAATGATCAATATGTTATAACCATGATAATCATTTCGTACTATACAAAACAATAAACATTTTACTTCCAAGGATCACAATCCAGTTTTATGATGATTTTTTTTATTTAGTTCTATCTTCATCGAGTGGGAAATTTCCAACAGTAATCTGACGCATGGGACACTCTACCGAGACGGCCTTTCTACGTGTACTTAATGATATAGCTTCTGCATTGGATAACAAGTGCACAGCGGTGCTTGTCATGCTGGACTTGTCAGCTGCATTTGACGTCATCGACAATGGCATACTTTATAAACGTCTGGAATACTCTTATGGAGTGACTGATACCGCACTATGCTGGATATAGTCATACCTGAGTGAACGACGACAGTGTGTTTCCATCGGATCTTCCACCTCACATGACAAAGTACTATATTTCGGGGTTCCTCAAGGGTCGGTGTTAGGACCACGAAAATATTGTACATACTCCAAACCGATTGGAGAGATTTGTCGTCGCCATATTCTTCGCTATCATTGCTATGCCGATGACAAACAAATTTACATGGTCATCAAACCACATGACAGTTGGAATACAGTCTCAGAAAGTCTTAGCTTGTCTGAAAGATATCAGCATCTGGACACCCCTGAAATTTTATAATGAACTATTCCAACCTTTGAATTGGAAGGGTTCAAGTGTGTCTTCAGGGGTCAATGAGTTAAGCTTAATCAGGAAAAGACGGAACTAATTGTCTTTTCCCCAAAGTGTCAGCAAACAATGGCTCTCCAGCTCAAGGTCGGTGCCAGGACTATTGAGACTGTTCCAGCTGTTAAAAACCTAGGGGTATACTTTGATAGTTCACTGAACATGGAGAAACAAGTGAACGCTATTGCCAAATCCTGTTACTACCAGATCAGGAACATCGGCTGTATTCGGTAGTTTATAACTGCAGATGCATGCAAGATTTTGGTGCATTCACTTGTTACCTCTCGGTTGGATTATGGTAACGCCCTGCTCTGTGGTATATCTGACAAACTACCTAGTCGTCTGTAGAGGGTCCAGAATACTGCAGCAGGGCTAGTTACTCGTACTTGAAAGAGAGAGTACATCACACCTGTGCTTTATTCGTTGCACTGGTTACCTGAATGATACAGGTCGCAGTACAATATTCTGGTGTACACATACAAGGCACAGAATGGAACAGCTCCTCAGTACCTACAGGAGCTTGTTACCGTGTATCAGCCGTCACGATCACTGTGGTCAGAGTCAGAATCTTTGTTGTGTGTCCCAAAATCTTGTACTGTGACCTACGGAAACATGCTTTGGGAGGGTTTCGGCTACGTTGTGGAATAGCTTACCATCTGCTATTAGAAAGTCAAATACCCTGGCCAAGTTCAAGAGGGACAGCAAAACTCACCTCTTCACGTCTGCATTTTAGAATCCTTGGAAAGACGTCATGTAAATACCACCCTTTTATTTGTTCAATTATGTGCACATTGCTTGCTTAAATGTATAAAAGTGATTGTAAGCCTTAGTTTTTTGTTTTCACAATTATAACCATTACTATTATCCATTAGGATCCTATTAAATTTTGGATGAAATGATATCTAGTTGTGACTGAATATAAATTGGTATAAAACTTTGATTGGCCCAATAAAATGACATTTCCATTATTCTAATCTGATTTCATTCACCATGAAAACAACTGTTTTTCTATCATCATTGCTGAGTGGTAATACTTACCTGAGTTTAGTTTGTTTGTGTTTATTACTATTAACAGCTATGGTCATTTATTTACCTGAGTAGCTGATCCAAATGCGTGTCCAAAATCAATGCCTATCATCTGTCCTGTCTTGAGGTTGATCATAAAGTTGGACAGATGGCGGTCACCAATGCCTAGAATATACTGACAAATGGACACGAGGGCGTGGGACACGGCCAGAGTACAGCGCAACACATGAAAAGCTTCAGGACTTGTACTGATGTCATGGAAGGCCCGTCTGTAAGTACAGGTGTAGATAAAGACACACCTCCATTATAATACATCAAAGTGTGATATAAACCGTATCATTAATCTTGTGGTTATCATAAAATTGTGTATTTTGCTTAAATAAATTGTTTCAATTTATACTGCAGAGAATAATTACATATCAGTTATCAATAAAACAGACACCATATTTTACCTATACCACAATACACAAGTATTACTTATAGAATACATGACACAAATTACCTATACCACAATACACAAGTATTACTTATATAATACATGACACACTTTACCTATACCACAATACACAAGTATTACTTATAGAATACATGACACTCTTTACCTATACCACAATACACAAGTATTACTTATAGTATACATGACACACTTTACCTATACCACAATACACAGGTATTAGTTATAGAATACATGACACACTTTACCTAAAGCCACTATATGCATTTACTTATGACATGTTCTAACTACATACCAGACGTCCTTTACCTCAGGCAAAATGTACATATGTCAACTGTCATTTCCGGCTCTAGATTGTGTGACACATTCCAGCAGTTTACCTGAACAGATCCCAGGGAATTTTGTTCTCCTTGAGTCGTAGTTCCCGGATGGCCTCTGTCTTGTTATACTTCTGATACATAAGGCCATACATTTTAGCAAGAGGCAGATCCTTACCAAGCTTCTGTAGCCAGGCAGTGTGTTGACCGTTAGGACCGTTCCTGTCAAACAGTGTTATTTCATTTATACTACATTTAAATATGATAATACAATACAGAACTGATCACTTAGCATCTGTACATGTCTTTGATAACTTACCATAAAACATAATATTTCTACATTTTGATGTAAAATTCAAATCCGGAATAAATTAGCATGTGAGAATAAAAGACTGGAAAATCAACCCTCAATTATATATTTTGGATATCTCATTGTATTTGCAATAAAAACACTTCTTTATTTTATGTGGTAATCAGACGAACCTGTCAGAAAACAGACGTTTTTGAAAGCTCACAAAATACGTTTTCAATACCAGGTTTCGCATGACCGTGATGCCAGTTAAGTACACATGACCCTGATGCCAGCTAAGTACATACTCCAGGTTTCACACGACCATGATGCCAGTTAATGTTAAATACACACGATCATGATGCCAGTTAAGTAATACAGGAACATGATGCCAGTTAAGTACAGACTGCAGGTTTTACAGGACCGTGATGTCAGTTAAATACACACAACCGTGATGCCAGTTAAGTACATATGACGGTAATGCCAGTTAAGTACACACTACCGTATGCCAGTTAAGTACACACTATTAGGACTAAACAACTTGTGAAACAAAATCATAAGATAAAAATTTAAACACTTGAAATTAGAAAAAGCATCCACATAATAATTTCAACACTTTGAAGGAAAATCCTGAAACTTCTAAATATCCAGGTATTAAATCTGGACAATATGTTTAACTAATTTGGTCTGAAAGTCGTGATTAAACAGCGTAGCTATCCAGGTAGGATTTTTCACACCTTTGTAACAACCCAGATTAGAGCTGAAAATAGATCGGTCTTCAAGTACCTTGTGCTGGCCACGTTCAGTCTAACAAAACCTGTGCAGCAGGTCCTAGCGAACAGCTATTTAAATCAACTCTAAGTAAGTCTACAATGGTTTCTACACACGTTTTCTAACAGGTATAATTGTTATGTCTTTGATCATGCATTTTATCAATATTCTTGGTGACTTCACACATCAAATGAGAAATCATTGCCGATTTCAACAAACAAATGTCATCATGTGTTGATGAATATTGAGTTTGTAGCCTGATTTGCTGACAAAATGGTTTCAGAAACCGGCACAATTTTATGGTTATTGTCATTTCACCACAGTTTTCCCATTCTCAACTACAGACTCTTACACAAGACAGAAACAAACTAATGAATGTAGAAGACAAGAACTCACACATACCAATTGTGATTTCCCCAAGAAAAAGTCCCAGAAACAAATTGTATCAATTGATGCATGGAGACAAACAGAAATGTCATTGAAATGATGTATGGACATCCAACAGAAACATCGGTTAGTTGATTCATGGAAACAAACAGAAATGTTAGTGAACTGATGAATGGGAAGAAATGTTACCTAATTGATGTATGGGCAGAAATGTTAGCAAATTGATGTATGCGCAGAAATGTTAGCTAATTGATGTATGGGCAGAAATGTTAGCTAATTGATGTATGGGCAGAAATGTTAGCTAATTGACGTATGGAGAAACCAGAAATAACGATGAAATGATGCATAGAGACAACCAGAAATGTCAACTAATTGATGTATGGTCAGAAATGTTAGCTAATTGTTGCATGGAGACAAACAGAAATGTCACTGAAATGATGTATGGACGTCCAACAGAAACATCGGTTAGTTGATTCATGGAAACAAACAGAAATGTTGGCGAACTGATGTATGGGCAGAAATGTTAGCTAAGTGATGTATTGATACAACAAGAAATGTAAGCTAATTGATGTATTGGCAGAAAAGATAGCTAATTGATGTATGGGCAGAAATGGTAGCTAATTGATGTATGGAGACAACAAGAAAGGTCAGCTAATTGATGTATGGAGACAACAAGAAATGTCAGCTAATTGATGTATGGGCAGAAATGTTAGCTAAGTGATGTATGGATACAACAAGAAATGTAAGCTAATTGATGTATGGGCAGAAATGGTAGCTAATTGATGTATGGAGACAACAAGAAATGTCAGCTAATTGATGTATGGAGACAACAAGAAATGTCAGCTAATTGATGTATGGGCAGAAATGTTAGCTAAGTGATGTTTGGATACAACAAGAAATGTAAGCTAATTGATGTATGGAGACAACAAGAAATGTCAGCTAATTGATGTTTTGGCAGAAAAATTAGCTAATTGATGTATGGGCAGAAATGGTAGCTAATTGATGTATGGAGACAACAAGAAAGGTCAGCTAATTGATGTATGGAGACAACAAGAAATGTCAGCTCATTGATGTATTGGCAGAAAAGTTAGCTGATTGATGTATGGGCAGAAATGTTAGATAAGTGATGTATGGATACTACAAGAAATGTCAGATAATTGATGTATGGGCAGAAATGTTATCTAATTGATGTATGTGCAGAAATGTTAGCTAATTGATGTATGGAGACAACAAGAAATGTCAGCTAATTGATGTATGGGCAGAAATGTTAGCTAATCAATATATGGAGAAACCAGAAATAACCGTGAAATGATGCATGGAGACAACAAGAAATATCAGCTAATTGATGTATGGCATAAATGTTAGCTAATTAATGTATGGAGAAACCAGAGATAACCGTGAAATGATGCATAGAGACAACCAGAAATGTCAACTAATTGATGTATGGTCAGAAATGTTAGCCAATTAATGTATGGAGAAACCAGAAATAACGGTGAAATGATGCATAGAGACAACAAGAATTATCAGCTAATTGATGGATGGCATAAATGTTAGCTAATTAATGTATGGAGAAACCAGAGATAACCGTGAAATGATGCATAGGGACAACCAGAAATGTCAACTAATTGATGTATGGTCAGAAATGTTAGCTAATTAATGTATGGAGAACCCAGAAATAACGGTGAAATGATGCATAGAGACAACAAGAAATATCAGCTAATTGATGTATGGCATAAATGTTAGCTAATTAATGTATGGAGAAACCAAGAAATGTCAACTAATTGATGTATGGTCAGAAATGTTAGCTAATTAATGTATGCAGAAACCAGAAATAACTGTGAAATGATGCACAGAGACAACCAGAAATGTCGACTAATTGATGTATGGGCAGAAATGTTAGCTAATTAATGTATGGAGAAACCAGAAATAACGGTGAAATGATACATAGAGACAACCAGAAATGTCAACTAATTGATGTATGGGCAGGAATGTTAGCTAACAAGCAAATTCGTGGAAATGATATCCCCTGCTTGCAGGACATATTGTAGGTTAACATTATTGAGGTTAGGTTTAAACATGTGAGTATTGTGCTGTTGGGACATAATGTATAGCTTGAAACTTAAAGAAAGAAAAAAAAAAGCCCTATACCTCATTGATTATCTGTAAATATGGTACACCTCTGGTAAGTTCGAATAGGCTGATAGTTCTAACACACTTTTTGAAAAATAAAAATAATAAATTTCTGTGTAGTTCGAACTCACAATTTGAGTGCTGAAATTCTCGAAACTCACTTAAACTTGATCTATTTGCTCATCGACAGCGTTTAACTACTGAATAACGGGTAGTACTCATGTGCGATCATTGTTGTCATCAATGTCGGACAATTTGTGATGGTTATTTGTTAACCAAAGTTTTAAAGATTACAATAATTTCCCAACACCCAGCTGTTTCCATACCTCACTCTCGTGGGATCGGAGCGTATCTTACATGCACATAACATGTTCCACTGCGCATCCTCATTACACATGCAAGCTTGACCACTACATCTTGACCACACATACGTCACTAGCCTCGCTCTCATTCTACTGCCAAGACGTCTGCATCACTCGCTATTACTTAACACTATCCATTACTACCAGATTCACCATGCCACCTAAAAGACGAGGGAGAGCTCCAACCAGGACCCCTCCTCACGTAGCCATCGCAGACTCTTCCCTTCTACAAGAATCCGTGGCGATACGAGGTAGGAGACGACAAACTTCTCCATCTCCCCCCACAGGGCCTCGGGGACAAAGGCATCGTTCCCGCTCGGCACTGGATGGTACCAATCCTTTGAAATGACCTGTCGCCAAATTGTGCCAAGAACTAAAGAATTCCGGCATGGATTTACCGACGTCTACACCACACAAAACGCTCGTGAAATTGTACCAACAACTACACAACACCGCCATACACGTGGATCTCGAACAACAACAATCTCAACAGTCGAGATCACGTGACATGCTATCTCTGGCAACTTCAGCCACTTCCGGTACGGAGTCACGTGATAGTCAAGATGGCGTCCGCAACCACCAAGATGGCGCCAACCATAGTCAGAACACAGCTTTGGACAATCTACGGCAAGAAATGACTTTAATCCAGCCACACTTGCCCAAATAAACAACCGCTTCATAGGTGCTGGCGCTAACAACTCCGCAAATAACCCCACGGTGGAACAGGCGCCGACTCAAGGTAGGGAAAGTCTTTCTTCTACGCATGAACATGCAAAGAAAAGGGTTTCGATGGACGACCTACCGGAGGTCAAGATCGTTCCTCAACATCTCCGCAGCGCCATATATGTGCACAAACACATAAATCTGTCCTTACTACTCATTCCCGGCATGGACAGCGATACAGAAACTAAAATCATCGACCAGTCAGGTAACCAGGTCGTCATGAAAAGTAATGACCCCAGAGCTATGCGCCATCTAAACATTCATGAGTTCAGGATTGCCTTCTACCGTTTTAAGAACGTGATCTGTGAGAAAGAGCCAGAAAGACGGCACGAACTCGACTCATATTCGGACCTCATTGATGACATGTTTGTGCAATATGGGGGCACCCATTTCTACGATTACCACACTGCTTTCTCTAAAAAGGCCGAACAATATGAGGTCACCATGGGCCTTCAAATCAACTGGGCATCACAGGATACCGGTCTCTACCTAAAGATGTTCTCAGGTCTGAGAAGCGTCACTTGCGAACACTGTCATAGCGCGAGCCACTATTCCGGTTT